TATGTATATATCATAGCAGTATATTTGAAAGCTGAATATCTTTTCACAGATTAATTATTATAGACAGTGACTTCAGAGAATTATCATAGCAGGAAGCAATGGATGGCTTAGGTTACCAGAAAGGAAGAATAGTAGTACTATTTCCTGTTTACTATTAGCACTGTCTAGAGCCCTTGTAAGTGACATTGATAACCAAAGGAGAGTTCTGCTTTTGCTTGTACTTCCAGAAGCAGGTTGCAGAAGAGACAGGGCAAAAGAAAATCAAGAATTTAAACCCTCTGTTGTATTTGAAGGTAAATTGTTGGATGAAAGCCAGTAGAAGCCATGCAATTAACACTCTGTAAGGAATGGCATTAGGAACTATAACTCATCAATCACTGTGCTGTCACTTCCAACTTTTCTGATATAAACATGGGGTTTATTCCTCTTGCCTTGGAGATGTCCATCTATAGAAACTAATTTCGCATAAACTCTGCTCATTCTCAGAGCTGCCATTAGCAATAGCCCTTTGAGGCTACATCATTGTTCTGTCAGTGTTGTGAGCTGAGTAGCATAATACATCATAAAAGTCAGATTTAAGATATTGTTAACTATCCAAATGACTTCTTTCCATTTGCTAGTCAATTCTATGGACAACCACCCTTCATTTCTGAATCGCCTGTTTTTTCCAATGAGGGAGAAACTAACTTTGCTCCTATTACCTCTTCTGCTGCTTCTTCCACATTTCTTTCACAAGTTTAACATCAGTTTGGGGATCAACAAGAAGAGCTCTTTGAGTTTTTATCAGTGCTGATATGGCCCACACCAAATAGGAGTAACAAAGAAATTTGTGCTAGCAAAGGCATATTTGATAAAACAATATTGGAACAAAGCGTACACATAGCTTAAGTACTAACAGTAGCAAATTATTACGCAACACACCAGAAAATACAAATGCTGTAGTATTCCTCAACGTAGTACCAAGCAAGAAATACTGGGAAGATAATATTATAGCCAAAATTTTCAAATTTTGGTTTCTAAATGCAAAAATTTAGAGAACAATCCAGGTTCATAATCACAGGTGTCTAGTGTAATTTTAGATTCCCTCTGATGTTCCACCTAGACTGCAGTTACTACAACAGTGTCTTGCTAGCCAGCGTGATGCATGTCAGTCCTGGATATCCTAGGATATTTAAAATGTTAGCAGAAAACTATGTTTAGACACTTGATTTACTCCTCTAATTTTGGATTTGGCCATTTGAACAGAAGGTACTTTGACTTTTTCAGAGGTACTGACACTACGAATGAAACCTTTTTTTATACCTCACTTTTGTTTCAAAGCTTGATTCAGACTTATTTAACAGGAATCAAAGACTAATAAAATTGTTGTGAAAATGAAACAATTTTGTCAGCTCACATGAAACATTCTGCCTAACTCATATAACATCTACAAGCAGTGACACATGCACCATTCTGTTTCATTACTGGTAATATTTACACTGATGCATATTAATGCTGCTGTTGTTATGATTTCTGGTTTATTCAAAAAAAATGAAATATGCTCATTTCAGGTTAATGCCTAAAGATTTTCCTTTTCTGTTTGGATAAAACAGGAAAACTAAACCATGAGTTATTCACACACTGATAGTTCCTGGTAACTGGGCAACAATGTAATTTACTGGAGACATTTACCTTACACAGCAGAACAGCATCTGGTAAAGAGCATGCAACAGGTAATACAGCTTTTTGTCACTCTCACAAATGGGAAAGAGACATCCATTACCAAGGTCTTAATGTGTGTTATTAATGTTATTAAGCAAATGTGGAACTCAGAATTTGAAAAGCAGCCATTAAAAGCGGGAAACAGCTGTCCAGCAGGTGTCAAGAATAGCCTAAGAAAAAAGTAAATATGAGAGAGGAAGACAACCTTAAATATTAGGAATGGAGCACATAAGAGAATTAAAGCACCCCTGATGGAATTCATTTCACATGCATTCAAACACTTGCAGTGTAAACATTTATATCTGAGCAAGTCACTCAAGTCTGTTTCCATAGTCAAAAGGGAGAAACAAGCACAAATCATCTAAGCTATTTTAAGACTTCTGCATTAGAAACAGGCACTAGAATTATCTCTCTATTTATTTCACATTTAGTCAGATAAATCCCACTCTCCAGTATATAAAAGCAGCAGACACTTGAGATGAGGCTGGTTCCCTGTTCCTCTGCCAGTACATTACAGTGCAGAACATGTTCAGCATCTTGCAACTCAAGATGTTTATGTAGGTAGTTTCCAGAAGGAACTAGGGCATTGGCACACCATATCTTCTGGATTATGTGTAAACCTCAGCTCTGTTGTCCCCTAACCCTCATATAGACACACTAGACAAATCTTTTCATACATACTTAAACATCAGCATAAATGTGTAAAATTACCATGTAACTACTCAGGATAGAATTGATCATAGGTTTCTTTACTGAGAATACTTGATTTTTTCCTTAGGCTGATAACAAGTACTATGCAGAGTAATTTTCTTTTTTTTTTCTTTTTTTTTCCTAAGATGAAGGTTAAGGAACTTTTGTCAGTGATAAAAATAGTTTTCTAACCACTTCATTGAACGGTACTAACTGCACAGTACTTAATGCCAGGTTCTTGAAATTTGAGTTATGAATAGTTCTACTGTCAAAGAGATTCCACAATTTCATATTCCACTCCTGTTTATGCGGGAAAACACTACTCCTGCTTAAGAGCACTTGTAACAGAAGCTGTAATATCTTAATTTTGTTAACATTATAACTGACTGATAGCTGGATAGACTTCTTGCCGACTCTGCCAAAATGCTACGTGTCCCAGGAGGCAGGTAATTATGCTGGGACATCATGAGATCAGTTTCATTTCTACAATGCACTCAAGAATCAGCCTTTCTCTTCTTCCCCCAAAGCACAAGAAGCTCCTCAAGGCCACTTGCAGGGCAGCTGGCATTAGGATTTGGGACCAGTATTCCATTTAGACCAGTATAGACTTTGAAAATGCTGTTTCACTTTTCTTCAAGCTTAACACAACAACCATTCACTTAAGTGCCTTAAAACATAACAGATTCTGAATAGTCAGTCCAATCTTTTAAGATCTTAGATGCAAATTGCATCTGATCTATCCATTGCTTTTCAGGAGTTGAAACAACATTAGCTTGACTTTTCACAAGACCTGAGCACACTCACCACTAATGAGTGTCAGTGGGACCCAGATCTCTTCTCACCCCAGAAAAAGTGCACCAAGGCATTTTCAAGTTCAATATTCAATCAGTGAATATTGGCTAGTGTCAATTACCAGCCAGATTATTTGCATAACTGCTTTTTTAGCACAATTCTGTCTCTGTAGAATGCATCTAGTATTGCCTTCATTTCAGAGGAGTGAAACTGCTACAGTGAAAATAACACCAGAATGTTATTTCATTGTAGTCAAATGCTACAGTGAAAATAACAACAGAAAACTCTGTGAAGAGATAAACTTGTTTCAGATGTTGCACAGAACATATTGTGATGGTTAAGATAAAATAACACTACACTTACTTCTCTTACACTGGGACTGTCCATCCAGCGGAGGATGACAGGAACGTTAAAAACAGAGCAAAATATCCAGAAGCAGCATCCTTTTTCAAAAAAAAAATCAATCAAACAAACAAACAAAAAACAACAAACAAACAAAAAACCCTAAACCAACAACAACAACAAAAATATTTTGTCACTTGCTAGAATCTTATTTGCAGACTAGCTGTTGTACCAGGTTAAGAGGCTACCATCCCAGATAAATATTCCTTCTGTATTCAACTCAAGTAGCACAGATGTCTGAAGAAAGTCAACACCAGAACTTTAGCCATTTCAGTGAAAATCTGGTGTTACAAACTAAACCAACAAAGAAGGGGACTTCCAGTTAAGGCAACGTACTTGGCATTGAAGCAGTTATTAATTAATTCATGTTCACCTGGGATATGGAAGAAGATGCGTATGATAACTTTTTATTACAGAAAACTTTGCTTCAGTTTCTGTGCCAGCATCTTGACCTCTGTAAATAATTGAAAGACTTGCTTTCCAAATGCATTTGGACACCTAAAGGCAACTAATGAGATGGGGGCGGGGGCATAAATTAAAAAGTAATTTGCCTAATTCCCACTGAAATCAGGAAAAAATTATTCTAATCTGTATCCTTGGAAATCTGCAATCAGGTAATTCATTAACACTGGATTTATTCTATTAAAAGCTGTATATTTTTCCCTGAACCATAATCTGTGCACACCAGAGAAATAAATTTGGCTGCCTTTATTCTGGCATTTCCTAGATTTTTAATCTTAGGTCTTTGCCTTCTTGAAAATGTTAATTGACAGAATTTTTGTGCATGACATAAAGAATCTACTAGTTTTACTAAAAGATAAGATTTTACATTAATAATGACAGAATTTTAATTCATATTTATACTTTACTGAAAAATGTACATAATTTCTGTCTTGTTACCTGATCTGAATGATCACCCTATCTGTCAATTTAAATAATTTTCACTCTTCTTATTCCTCATACAGCTTTTATCCCTTCAAACATTTTTTCTGTTTTGATCACTATATAATTCTACAACAAACCTCCACAATTTTAACTATCCTATCTTTTCTAAGATATCTGTTTTCTTGTATTTCAATTACAGGTGATCTGGTGTTTCATTTACTTTGGCTTTCTTTATAACTTTTGTTACCTTATTTAGCCCTTGCAAACACCCACAGGGAATATTACCTCAGCATCTTATCAGAACTGTAAAATTGAGGCTACAGTTCTGATGTGCAATATGCTATTACAGTATCTTCACGAGAGTTAATATTTACTGATGTGCTAATGTAATAATGACCTATCTGCTTCTGCTCCTCTCTGGGGTACTTTCCTTCTATAGGGATGGGAATTAATGACAGTCTCTCTGTGCTGCCTGATGTCAGAGCTGAGAAAGGTGTGAAGGGTATATAAGAGCCGTATTACTTGTCAGCAAGGAACAGGGAAAAGGGATACTCCAGAGCCAGATGCAAGCGTGGAATTGTTGCATGCACCCTTCTTGCTAACACAGGCGTGCTTCTTCAGTTAGCTCCCTGACCACTAAAAGGTAAACAATTTCCCTTATTTTCTTACTTAAGATGCAGAGCAACAGATGTGCTTTCAGAAAAGCACAATGTTTCTCATTATTCATCAATAGCATGTCTCAGGAAAAGGCTAAGATAACTTCAAGGTAAATTGCAGCTGGAACCGGGATTTGAGACTGGGACTTGTTGGGAAATACAAACCAGAGATAAGGGAAAGGATTGAAGATACTAGATGGAAAATGAACATTTACTGTTGAGAGCTATATGTCTGAAACTGCATTGTGTCACTAAACTTAGGAGGATCATTTTTTCATTCTAGCCTGTAAAAAAGACTAGCTGCTGTTGATTTAGGACAGAATGGGCATCAGTAATAGGATATGCTGAAGGGTATCTGGGTTTGCTTTCAGTGTTGAATCATTATTCTTTTCAGAAAGTTTGGAAGCAAAGATGTGCAACCTAAAGCTGTCAGTTTTCTTCATTGCACTTTCTGTCACTCTGAGCTGTTTGGAAGCTACACCTATTGAGAAGTGAGTAATAAATAATCGTATTTATCTCTTTTTAGGGGAAAATGTGTTCAGATTATTGCATTAATTTCTTTTGCTTTCATGTCTCAAATAACATGAGTGAAAACAGAGCTATTCAATGTCACAGGGTATTTTATTGTTGTTTAAAGATTACTATCTGTGGCTGATGATCTATCTGATGGTACTTCCAAGAGACAAGGATGGATATTGCCAGAAATGTCACGGAATACACTCTCAGGACTTAGTGAGGAAATGCCAAAACAAACAGCAGCAAAGACAAAAAGGTATTGATTTTCCGTGTTTATTCTAGCCATCTCAGCTAGGTTTAAATTATGAAGTAAACTTTGTGCCAGTGGTATCTGTTACTTGAGACTCTGTGTCTGTTGATTATTCTCAAAAAGAGCTTAAAATATCCTTCTTATTGTAAATAGAACCATTCTGTAAGTATAAAGATCAAAACATTCAGGGCAGAAAGTGAAATCCAGAGACAAAAGTTTCTGATCACTTTACAATTATAACACTTTCACAAATTAAAAAAGCTACAAATACTACGTTACCTTGAGAAGGTGTATTTTGAGAGGGCCTTCTTTTTTAAATCTGTCAAGCCTGAAGGGGAAAAAAAGAAAATATACCCTTCTTAATAACACTAATGCTCTGCTAGAATGGAATTATTTTATAATATGACTGTTTCCTGTCAGTAATATTTCATTACAGAGTTAAATATCAATTTAATTATGGGAAGAAGGAAAAGAAGCAATTGGCTCTGATATAATTTAACTTGTCTGAAATGCATTCATGTTTAGAGATCCATAAATCCATTTTCAATTATTATTTTTATTAATACAAAAGCATTTCAAAAAATATTTTGAATTTGTACTGAAGGTAAACAGCACCAAACTATTCTATGCTCATCAGGTTTTTGAGTTAATTTATTTCACTGACAATTCTGCTATGAATAGATTCAGTAAATACATGTGTCTCTATAGTTGCCTGTTCCTTTATGTTAAAAAAAAAATCATTATTATATGACAATTTGGTTATATTTCAAAATATTTTGATAACAGAGACTAAGTTCCACATTTTTACAACTATTACTTAAAAAAAAAAGAAAAAATAATACTCAAACACAAGGCATCACCTTTATGTGTGTGGTATGCCTTACCTGCTTCTCTGGGGCCTTGGTGAACTAACTGAAGCACATATTCTTTTAAAGGAAAACTAAGAGACACTATATCAAGTTCTATACAACCATTTCCTTTAAATACAATTACATATTTAAAATAATAGTTGCTTTGAATTTGCTGCCTATTTGCCAATGAAGAACAAGTATAACACAGATATTTCTCTCACAACTGCTATTCCATTTGGATTCTTAGAGCAATATAAATAACTCTAAAGGAATAGATGACATTTTAGGTAACAGATTTAATGAGTCAATGGGAAAAGAAACCCACTGATAATTGCTTAGAGTTTGAAACTGGGAAATTGTCACTCTTCACAGCAAATTTTTGCTGCAAACTGTTGTCTATCTTATGCCACATCAGCATGAAGAAGCTCAAGAAAATTAACAATAACTCAATAAAAAAATCTCAGAAAACAAGTATTTCTGTCTGAAGGAACAACACAGTGGTCTAAGAAAGAAATTTGAAAACCCAAGGTCTCTCACACTAACAGTTTGTGATTAAAAATACATATATATCTCATGCTACAGAAGCTCTACATGGAGTTTTGTAAGTGGTCTGTTGGTTCAGACCATAAAATGTTATTTTTAGTTACAGATTCTTCCATGGACACTCTTTAAAGTCTCATTCAGCAAACTACTATCTCCTACCACAACAGCACTTTCAAGTTGCTGGTGTTTCAATAAAAATTTAGCAGCTTTTCAGTAGACAAGAAATCTCTGTTTAGACAGAGGTAAATCTTAAGTGGTACTGAAGTTGGCAGAAGTTGGCAATGCCTGCCACCTCTCATGATATGTGACGTAGTTGGGAGAAAGAGTCTTTGGGCTCAATCCACTTAATGTGGACTGGAAGATTACTGTTCACTTCAGTGAGAGTAGGATATAATTCCGTGGGAACAAGAGAACTAAATAAAAATGTTAGTGATTGTCATTATGTTAGTAATCCTCATGATATCAGCGAGAGCTCTAAATAGATTTAGAAGTTTAGCTTAAAGGTAAACATTTAGTCATTGTTTTCACTTACTGGCTTAACTATACTATCATTACAGGTTTTCTAGATGTCATATACTGCTATGCAGAATATCAATAAAAATGACATATGACTGTTAAGGTTCTCGCATTCAAATAACCCACATCATTAAAACTGATAATAGCATACACCACAAGACTTTTTTCCAGGCACAAAGTAGGTGGTAGGAAGATTGTAATGTTCTTCTATTGTGCACACATTAAAAGAACTCCCACATTAGCACAGCTCAAATGCCTTTTAGAAGTAGCACACTTGATTGCTCATCATTTGACTTAATCTTGGCTCTTTTTGTTTCACCTTAGTAGTCACCATCTGGAGAAACGGAAATGCAATACCGCTACATGTGTGACACAACGCTTGGCTGACTTTTTAGTTCGTTCCAGCAACAACATCGGAGCAATTTATTCACCGACAAATGTGGGGTCTAATACATATGGAAAAAGGGACACAGTTGGGCTTTTAAGCAGAGAACCCCAAAATAATGCACAGCTTTAGGGTGTTAAAATGACTACCAATACAGTTTTCATTAGGAGCTCAGTTTTTAATGTATCAATAACCTCTTGGTCATTTATTACTTGTACAGTCTTAACAGTGCCTTGTTTTCTGTGTGTGTGTGTGGGTACGCGATTTATGTTCATCATTTTGCTATGCATGTATAGTGACATGCATAGGCTATTGTTTCAACTCCATTACGAACTCCAGAAATCTGCTTGTCAAATTCCTTTGTAAAAAAATAAATATATATATATCACAGTAATAAATGGAAAATTAATTGCAATGGGTTTTATTATTATTATTATTATTAAAAGGATGAAAAAGATAATCATGATGTGTATGTCTTTATAGTCACAGTTTGGTAAGAGAAATAAATTATCTTAATTAACACAAAAATTAAGACAAAAATCAGAATGCTAACAGAAGTTATGTCCTAATGAAAGTAAAACAGAAGAATCTTCTGGGTTTGAAACATCTACAGCGTGATGTTTTGCATAACTGAAGGACCAACTAGATGAGACAAGATGGCTGCATTGTGTATATGATTATATCAGTTAACTGACTGGTCTCTTTACACCTTGATGTGTATTAAGCAAGTAGAACTGGTCTTGCAGCACAGATTTCTGTACGTACTGAGCATGGGATTTTAAAATTTACAGTTCTTACTTTAAGATGGTGTCAGTAAAATGTAAGCATAATGAGCATAAGTGCTTTTAAATATGAATAAAAGAAAATTCAGTTAACAAGCTAGCAGAAACACCTGTCCTTGGGTATTCCTTTCCTTGAACTAGAGTAATAAAGGGAAGAAGAAAAAAAAACAATGAGCAGTTCAGGCATCAAAATGTATGATAGAAACAGGGTAAATTTGCCTGCTGGCATATTTACATTGCTAGCAAAATCCGAGAAAACTATTTTAGAGATGGGTGGACACTAAAGGAAACTTGACAGTGTTATTTTCTCCTACCTCAGCCCAGTATCAGTGCAGGCTTAATAAACATGTTTGTTCCCTTGAATTGTTAAGCAAACTTTCATAGAGATGACACCCTGTATCACAGCAATGGTTGTTTTGTCCATCACTTGCTCAGTGAAGAGTTCATTATCAACAGAAAAACATTATTGTCCAATTATGAAAAACATTCAGCAGAAGCTTAGTTCTAGAGAATCAAATGAAAACTTAATAATTATCTTTGGTTTATTTGTTTCTGTTATAAAATATGCATCAAAATATAAACATTTTTGCTAAGTTTAATATTAAACTCCATGTTCCCTTAATTTCACAAATAATACATGGAAATCAAAGTTACTGCACAGAGTTTCTGCTGTAAAAATGTTACTGATTACTCTCTTTGCTGAGAAAAGTTTCAACCTTCATTCATGTTCTAATGGATATTTATTCTGAGTTTTATTGAGAAAACCATTCATATCGTATTAAACTTGTCTAATATTTCTGCCAGTTTGAAATGCTTTCCATTCAAGTTACTTTTGAGTTATATTATACACTCATTGTGCGCTTAATTTGTTTTACAGCTAGAATATTTACTTTTCAGAAAAGAAATGAGAAAGTGATAGGATAGCTCTGAAGTGTCACTGTGACGTTGTTTGTACAGAGGAGTAACCAAGTGGAGTCTTCACTGTGGGTAGATGATGATTTTTAGGCTTGATCCCAACCTGAAATATGTACAATGCTTTACACATCAGCTTTTGCTCTTCAAGCTACCATTTGCCAAATCAAAACAAAGTACAGACTGTCTATGCATAGGTTCAGTGGAACCGTATGCATTATTTTCTGCCTTAGGTACTCGTGAACCTGGTGGACCTGATACTATTTGATACATCTATTTAACATGCTTGCCCTATTTGGCAAACACTGAAAGATTCTACTCATCTCCCAGATCAGTGAAACAACAGAGAGGGATATATCAGTAACTCAGATGGGGACCATCTCACCTCTCTTTAGCTGCTTTTTGTCTAACCAGTTGTCAGTGCTCTCCTGCTATTTGGTGGAGAAAGACAGCTACTTCCAATTCATCCCAGCTTAGACATCTATTTTAGGATGGGATGAATCACACACTTGAAGTGTCTCTATTTCTCCATTGACGATAGTGTCTAGACAATTAGCTGAAAATGGGCACTTAACTTTAGGATAACTAGAGTTAGGTGACAAGAATCCCACCTACAGTTGATATGAACTGTTCAACCTAAAAAAAAAAAAAAAAAAAAAAAAAAAAAATTGGTGCAAGAAAGAAAAATACCCTCAGGCTCTAAATCATCAGTGATCAACTCATATTCTGAACTATATTAGTTAATTCATCAGTCAGAGTACGTCGAGAAACTGCCTACACAGACACTTGTTTCCCTGTGCATACCCTTGAGAAGACAACTCTGCTACCCTTCCTCCTCCTGTGCACTTACAACTGGCTGCACTTAGACCTCTTAGAGAAGAAAGATTTACTCATGGTAAGCCTGGATACAAGCACAGTCCTGAGAGAATAAGTCAGGAAAAGAGTGGATTTAACAAGAAATCGAAAAAAAGAAGAAAAAGAAAAAAAATAAGAAAAAGAAGAATTTACAAATTAATTCATCAGAACCCCAAACATCATAACTTCAGACATTTCAGAATATGAAGACTGATGGGTGAAGCCTAGTTAAATAGCAAAAACTAAGTGCCTCTATGCATTTTTTAAAATCCCAGTATGTATCCACATCTTTAGGGACATAAATATTTTTGGAGAATCAAATCTTACATGGCTTTGGTTCTCTTCCAATTCATCTGTATGCTCTACATCTTTCACAGAATATTCAAGAAAACAAAAAGTACAAAGGAGGAAAATCAAGAATGTAGACAATGTGATAAACATGGCAACATTATCTTTAAAAATAAAAATACTAAATCTCTGCTTTTTAGTGTCTTCTCTTAACTTGTCTTTAAAAGAAACATAATAGGGACATAATATTGAATTTCACTAAATGAGAGGGGGAAGAATAAGTCATCAAACAAGCAAGAGGAATGTTAGAAAAAAAGATGATATTAACATGAAGAATGTTTTAAACGGAGTAGTGGGCCCTAGGGTCTAATATTTCTCAGGAACTATGACAGCTTCATAGAAGACAGAATTTGTATTTTTTCATGATGAATAGAGTTGAAATTGATTTCACTTTTAAAAGCTTGGGCTAAAACTAAGAAAACACATAATATTCATGGAACATAAAATGTTCTTTTATTGAACAGTAAATTTTGAATTAATAGTTTCAATTTCTATTAAGATAATACAAATATTTTTCAAATAAATAAGATTCTTGGTGAGAGCTTTAAACATTAGGTTGGCAAAGCTTCCATTCACTTTCAACAGGATGTTATTATCAAGTCTGGATTTTACTGAATGGCTTTCTAAACCTATTTGAAAGTTAATATATTGATACTATGAAAAAAATCCATTTCCTGTAATACACTATTGAATATCTTCAGTAGCTGTCATCTTTGCTTTCCAGAATTATGCTGGGTTTGAGTCATTAAGCTCACTTACAAATAGAGTTTGACAGGTATGGTAGACTCTCTTTGTTCAGAGTTACAAAGTTAAGTAATTTTGTTGTCTAGCTTCATTATCATATAGAAAAGTGACTGCTCTATGTTGCTTTTCCAATGCAACTAGCAAAAAGCTGTGGTTAGGTATGACACATCATCTTGTTGTATACAGAATATAAAAATAATGGCTGAAGTAACATGAAATAAAATCTTTCTGTGGGATATGAAAACTTCTGTTTCAATGCTCTTACTGTTATCTCTATTTTTCCACACTCAGAGAAAGTCCTATACTGAAAAACAAAATATTTTTGTGGAGCTGTGTGAAGTTCAATAACCAGACTCAAACTCAGACCTGAAACACACCATTTAAACTAAGCTTCAATTTAGGAACAACTTCCCCCAGAATCTGGACTCTCTACTGATCAGTTCTTATGAAAACTTTAGAGAAATTGGTTTCCAACTTCAATTGCTATGAAAACTATATATCCTTAGTTAGATCCAGTTAAGAAGTGTTTCTCTAACTAAAACCTATCTTCATAGTAAAACGTTAAAAAATCCTCAAGCTAGGAATCATATATGCCATCAAAATTTGAAAGTCATGACATCAGAAGCTCACTAAAGAATGAGACAATGGTGATAAGACAATAGTTAAAACTGTTGTTCATTATACAATAATTTTTCTCCTTGAATGTTAAAACATCTGAACAAAAAGAACACATTTATATGCATTTTAATCCTAACAATAGGGCTGATTCAAGTAACAATTATGCCATAAAGTCACTATTTCCTGTAAATGCTTTTATAAATACAAAATAAGTTTAATTGTTCAAATTAAGAATCTTAGACCTGTCCCTATTTTAACAACAGTTTTTTTCTACTTTAAAAGACTCTTTTCAATCCTGCATTAGAGATGGTGAAACTGTTTCTTATAGGCTATTTTACAACATCCTTAATATAAATGATTACTGTACAGGTAGCCTGCGATATGCTGTGGAATAACTGGTGACACCAAGGGTGATAGAAACTGATTGAATTGAATTTCTTCAGTCCCAAGTTTTGATTAGTACATCATCTATGCAGTGGGTTGGATTTTTTGTTTTGTTTTTCAAAAGGAATTAAAAGACTGGGATGTATTAAAATAATTGGACCTGCATTAAATGGATCAATACATGTATGAATTGAAATAGTTGGAACCATTTTGGAATTAAATGCTACTCATTACGATTAAAATATTATTAAAGCCAGAACCTGGTTATTATTTACACTGTCAACAGAGGCAGATCACTTCATTCAAACAGAATCAGTCTTTGTTCATTAAGCAGTCCCTTTGGAAGAGGTCAAAAGTGCGACTTGGCTCCACCAAGAGAATTGTGTAAAAATTTAATCAGCCTATGATTGTCAGTCCAACACTGAGGAAGCTGAGCTACTTAACTCTCAGAATATGGGTCATTTTTAAACATCATTCTTAGATGAGCTCATTACTTGTGTTGCATATGGAACTAGCCACATAACAGATTAATTTTTTCTTTTTAGTTTTTTGCTTGTTTGTTTTTTCAGAGGGAAGGAAAAAAAGGGGTCATAAAAACTGGAGGAAGAGACAAATTATGTCAAGGTTGCAAAATACTTCGATCCTTTTCCCAGGGTCAGTAAGCAACTGGTAGCCATTTTTTAATTTCTAAATCATCTGCTGTGTTACAGTACGGGAAGGAGAGAGGAAAAACTGAAATCGTGGGACAGTACATTCTTTCCCATGAAA